GGTTCAAGATCCAAACACCACACCGAAAGGATGCCAAGAACATCTTCCAGGACAAGAGCTTTGGCGCTGAAACCATCTACCTGCAGGAGGACAAGACCAACGCCCCTTTGAGCGAAAGGACGATGTCTTTGTCAGACCGACTTGCCTTCAAGGAGGCCAAGCAGAAGGAGCTAGCTTCGTTCTTCCAGAACGACGTCTGGGTCTTCGACGAGGAGGCCAATGCCAGACCTGACCGCATCCTGCGGGCAAAGTTCATCCTCAACTGGAAGACCAATGCTGATGGGAGCCCTCGAGCAAAAGCGAGGCTCATATGTCAAGGGTTCAAAGACCCGGATGCTTTGAGCGGGACTTTGACTACAGCGAGCCCTACATTGACTCGTCTTTCCAGGAACTTTGTGCTGAGCATTGCATCAATGCTGGGCTACTACCCCTTCACGGCCGACATCTCGACCGCCTTTCTTCAGGGCAAGAGCTATGACCCTGATTCTGAACGAGAGATTTGGGTGAAGCTTCCCCGAGAAGCTGATGATCTACTTGGTCTACCAGCTGGACATGGCCGAGTGATGAAGCTCATCAAGCCCATGTATGGCCTAGTGGATGCCCCGAAAGCTTGGTTTGATGAAGCTGTGGAAAGGATTTTGAAGATGGGCGATGGAGCCATAGTGCAGCACCCTTTGGACAGCTGCCTCTTCCTGGCCTACGACCGGCCGATCCAACTTCCACAAGATGGTGATGATGCTGCCGAAGCACCCCGCCTTTTGGCGATCTTTGGACTTCATGTGGACGACCTCTTGGGATGCTGTGATGAACGTGACCCTGCAACCAAAGCCCTCATGGACAAGCTGAGATCGACTTTCAGTTTTCGAGAATGGCACAGTGGTGCCGAGAAGGAGGAGCTCACCTACTGCGGGGCAAAGATCATCAAGATCGAAGACAACCACTGGAAGATCCACCACACTGACTACCTGGGAAAGCAGAAACCAATCAGCTTTCCAAAAGAAAGGCAACAGAAAGTCTTGCCTGTGACCGAAGGCGAAAGAACTGCGCTTCGAGGCCTCCTTGGTGGACTACAATGGCCAGCCACCCAAACTGCTCCATGGCTTCAGGCCCCTGTGAGTATGATGGCTGGATCAGTGACCACCGCTACTACAACCACTCTCTTGGAAGCAAACAAAGTCCTACGGTACGCCAAGCAGAACGGCGATGTAGGCTTGGAATTTCGAAGCCTTGGGAGAAAGGAGGACATGACCTTCATAGCGTTTTCGGACGCAAGCTTCGCCTGCCGTGCCGACAACTCCAGTCAAGGTGGCTACATAGTTGCCATGGTGGACCGAGCTACTGCTGAAGGAGCTGAAGGCCACTACAACCTGTTGGACTGGCGCAGTTGGAAACTGGCAAGGATCTCAAGATCCACTTTGGCGGCAGAGTCTCAAGCAGCATCTGAAGCTGCGGACAGCCTTCTGTTCACCTGCACCTTCTGGAATCTGATCTGGAAGCCCTGGTTGGTCCTCAACGACCTGCAGACGCCGAAGATGCCAGTGGAACCGGCACTCATCGTGGACGCGAAGGCCCTCTACGATTTGCTGGTGAAGCCTGAAGTTCAGGCAAGCAGCGGTACAGACAAACGTACCACCATAGAAGTTTTGGTGACACAGGACAAATTGGCCTGTTGCTCAGCGAAGACACGCTGGGTATCATCAGAACAGCAATATGCTGATGGACTCACCAAACAGACGGCCGCTCAACTACTGGCCGAACGACTTCGAACCCACATGGTGAAGCTCAAGAGCGACACTACGTTCCAAGCTGCGAAGAAGAAGACGCCTCAAGAAAGACAAAGAAACACAAAGATGTATGCAATGAAGAAGCCTCAGCGAGCTCTACAAGCGATGTTTGCAATGTGCTGGACCGGCAGTTCAGCGACCTACTTGGACACCACCGACAACACAACCTTCACCTACAACGACCTCTACCTGGGCATGCTGAAGCCGCTCTACACCGCGATCCTGGCGATTGCCATCGGCATCTTGGTGTTGGGCGGATGGAAAAGATGGAGAAGCTTTGGAAGGGCTGATACAGCCACTGAAGGAGAAAACCTCGAAGAGGTGAGTACACCAGTGACTTCGTCAGTCGCAACGCAAACTGACGTGGAAATGCACGAGATAGTACCTATCCAGGAGCACTACGAAGAGACGCAGCGACTGGTCTCTGTGATCGAAGAGGAGATGGTGCCCTTGTATGTGCACAACGCCATGCAGGAAACCCATCACAGGGAGCTGGATACCTACTACGAGACCTTGAATGAAAGACTTCGTGCACAGGAGCGTGGCCACCAGGCGAACCTGCATAACCTGAACCAAGCACCTGTGTTCTTTACCAAGAGTGGCCGCTGCTGGCATGCAGATCCTCAGTGCCTGAGACGATTTGCGACGCAGGAGATCCAAGAGAAGAACTACTGCACCCTGTGCTCGCACACCTTGGGCGGCATTTTGACGCCTGGCACCTGGGATGACTGAGCGGCGGTTTTTCACCAAGTCCTCTTTCAAATTTTTATCCCTCACACTTCCACCGGTGTGAATTGCGTGCTACGCAATAGGGATTTCTTTCACTGTTTCAGATTTGGCATGTCACATTGCCTTTCTCATATGGCCTTGTCGGCCCAATACCATTTCTAGGGCGCACGTTCGTGCCTGGGACTCCCATGGGCGACAGGGCCTAGCTACGCTTTCGAGCAGCCCGAACCAAAAAGGCTGCACCTTGCTCACCAACCTGTACTTCGTGTGATAGGCTTGGAGTTTCGGATTGGGAAAGAACGCTACCGAAACAACAGACCCATTACTTCATAATGATCCTGTCAATGACGCTTCATTGCACAAATTCTGTATCATCTGGCATTTGTTTCTATAACTGTGGACAATTATGCCCCTTCAATCGATTATTGACCTATCATGTTCATTGATTTTCCGTTAAAAATTGATTTTCCATAGGGCGTTCCATGGTTTTCCATGGATTTTCCATGGTTTTCCATGGATTTTCCATGGGTTTTCCATGGATTTTGCCTAGGATGTCATCCCTTTTTCAGCGGATCAAAAAAAAATCTCCGTTCCCCCAAGGGGGCACCAGTGGTGCTCGAGGGCGCAGCCTTCATACGCTGACCTGGATAGGGAGATTCTGGCATAGAGTACCCTCTGGTAAAGTGATATTGGATAATATGTTGGTTCACCTGGCTGTTCATATGTTGATATTCATCCCAATATATATATTAGGGTCCATCTTAATTTTCAGGGTCCAACTGTTAATTTACCAGAGGGTAACTATATTACTATATTCTATAGTTGGTGGTTGACCTACCCCTCTGAAAATAATGGGTTACTAATGGTTAATAGTGGTTAATAGTGGTTAATGATGGTTAATCATTGGTGAATTATGGACTGGTTGGTGGTTGACCTACCCCTCTGAAAAATATTAATCTTGGTAAATCTATGGTAAATCCTATGGTAATCACTATTGTCCTATGGTAATCACTATGGTAATCACTATTATCCTGATTGGTTTATGGCTTATATACCCTCTGGTAAACTGTTACATAACTATGGAAAGATCCACCATTTTGAATGGGAAAATCCACTATTTCTATGGTCATTTTCAATAGCTATGTAACAAATTACCAGAGGGTAACTATATTCTATAGTTGGTGGTTTCAACCCCTCTGAAAAATCATGGGTTACTAATGGTTAATAGTGGTCAATATTTTCTAGGCTACATTTACCATCATATACCCTCTGGTAAACTGTTACATAACTATGGAAAGATCCACCATTTTGAATGGGAAAATCCACTATTTCTATGGTCATTTTCAATAGCTATGTAACAAATTACCAGAGGGTAACTATATTCTATAGTTGGTGGTTTCAACCCCTCTGAAAATCATGGGTTACTAATGGTTAATAGTGGTCAATATTTTCTAGGCTACATTTACCATCATATACCCTCTGGTAAACTGTTACATAACTATGGAAAGATCCACCATTTTGAATGGGAAAATCCACTATTTCTATGGTCATTTTCAATAGCTATGTAACAAATTACCAGAGGGTAACTATATTCTATAGTTGGTGGTTTCAACCCCTCTGAAAATCATGGGTTACTAATGGTTAATAGTGGTCAATATTTTCTAGGCTACATTTACCATCATATACCCTCTGGTAAACTGTTACATAACTATGGAAAGATCCACCATTTTGAATGGGAAAATCCACTATTTCTATGGTCATTTTCAATAGCTATGTAACAAATTACCAGAGGGTAACTATATTCTATAGTTGGTGGTTGACCTACCCCTCTGAAAAATCATGGGTTACTAATGGTTAATAGTGGTTAATAGTGGTTAATGATGGTTAATCATTGGTGAATTATGGACTGGTTGGTGGTTGACCTACCCCTCTCAAAAATATGAAAGTCATTGAAAGTCAATGGGAAGGATTATCCCATGTATGATAGAAAATAAAGAATGTTTGAAACCACCAACCAGGATTGATATGATGGGGATATAATGGGGACTTCGAATAGGGGGTTTCTTAAAATGGGGGACCCCCAAATCATCAAAAATTGATAATGTTTGCACGCAAAACCTGTCGTTTTGAAGTCCAGCAATTTCAAGAGACGCCCCTTCCTAACTCCCCTCTGACGCCCCACTGCTTCCATCCTGAGGTCTTGAGGTGATGAAATCACTCTAAATCAATGAACAAAATTCGTCTATTCAGTCTATTCACATCTATTTACCGAAAGCAGAAGTAAAATGTTCCCAGATGCGTAATAGATGGTACCTGATTACCATCCATAATATGCTACCATCCAAAATAGTCTATATATATATATATTATATATATAAATTATATATATATACAGTATATTCTGGGCAAATTACAACTAAATTCGCCTGAAACTTACGGCCATGAGATGATTCCCCTGGGCTCCTTGCCTGGAGAGCCTCCCAAACCTCAATTGTTTTGTCGCGCTGCCGCGTCCGCCGTTCCCAGTTGATCCCAGTTGATCCGATTCCAACTCGCCATGGACGAGGACAACTGAGTCCCATGGTGTCCTTTTTGGGCCCCCACGACCCAGATATCCACCGGGCGCCTCAGGCCAGGGCAACGGGACATGGTGAAGTCCCCAAAGATCATCAACGAATTCTCGATTTTGGCATGTGAAACCTGTATAAAAATAGAGCAAATAGATATGGGGATGGGTCAAAACCCTATCCCCCTGTAGTTCACATCAAAATAGCTGGGATTTATGGATGTGAATAACCCCCTAAAAATGGTATCTATATGTATCTATAGGTATTGATCCATAGCCATATAGGTGTACATTTACAAAACGTTGTTGACTGTTGAAAGTAATTAGTGACAAACAGCCCAAACGGGTGTGTCATTGCCACTTCATGGCTCAACTGAAAAACAAACATTTCAAAACAAGAACGCTGTCCCGTTTTTTTTCACAACCAATAAAAACACGGCGAGCCTATCCAAAGTTTGTCCAGGTCTTCATAGCTGGCCCTTCGGAAACCTCTGAGGTTCCCTGCATCTTCTTCGTTCACGAAGGGATGCTGCAAAGCCTGGCATCCAGGACTAGGATTTTCCATGAGCATCCAGCGAAATTTGGGGTACCCCCATGACTTTGGAAACCCCATATATATATGTGTGTGTGTCATATATATATATCATTGGATATAAACATCGCCTCTGTAATTTGTTTGGATGAAAACTACAAACAAAACTAGCTGCCAAAATGGGAGATGTTTTTTCGGTCCCGCAGTTAAGGTCGAAGCTTCAGGAAAGTTCCGTCAGAAGTTCTCAAACACTCAGATCCCACCAAAAAGGGGGGAACACTTGAACCATAAGATCTGGTAAATTGACATAGACCCTGGCAGTTGTCGGGGTTGGAAGACTAGTTTCCATGCAACATTGGTAATTTTCAGGGTCTATGTTAATTTACCAGGGGGTACTATTTTTTGAGCAGCCCGTGTTTTGTTTTCAGCTGCAAGATCAGAAATATCAAAGACGATGGATGAATTTCTGTTGAATTCACAGTAAAGAGCACCACCCTGGAAGCCGGTCACAGGTGAGCAAAAAAGGAATCATGAAACTGCAGTTTTCAGATGGCCCTCGGAAAACCTAAGCTCTTCAAATGACCTCGAAACTCGTCGAAAATGGCTATCAACTGCATGTCCATTTGCAATGTACCGTTCATTGATGAAATATATCCGCTAATCACGCTAATCATTGCAGTTCGCAGAGTTTATGTCCATAGTCCATACATGTCCATAGGATCTTTGCTTGACAACCACCATTCGCAAGCATTTTCCTCTCATAAAATCCCCATCCCCATCCTGTCAGGAACTCCCCATCCCATCACATAGCCCATGGCCAAATGGCGGCGCCTGCTTGGCCGTCCATCTCATGTTGGGATCCATCTGGAAAAGACCTGTCAGGAACTGCAGGAAGCAGTTGCGATTGGCCTGGCGCCGGGAGGCCGGTTGAGTCAGTCAACTTCGCAACAAAAACCGGAAAATCACAGAGAAATGTGTGGCAAAAGTTGTGGTTTCCTTAGTTTTCTTTGGCGGGAGAATGGAGACAATAAACCTATCTATATGTATATATAATAATATACATTAGTAGAATATGATATGATTTTAATTGAAATTTATTTAATATAATTTAATATAATACAATATAATTTAATATAATATAAAAATTTAATATATTGTAATATATTGTAATATAGTGTCATATAATATAAGATAATATTACTGTAGTAATATAATATTATATTTGTAATATAACATAATATAATAGAAAAGAATATAATATGTACAATAATGTAATATAAAAAATATAATAGCATATTATATTATATAAAGTGATATAGTATTGTATTTTATTTCATATTATGATATTAAATTTTATTGTATTATATTGTAGTATATTATATTATATTATACATATATTGTATCATATTAGACATATATTATATTTTATATACGTTATTATATATATATATTATGTTGTATATATTACATTACATATATATACACGTATATTATTATATGTATATATATATATATATGTGTGTGATTATATTATATTATATGTGTGATTATATTATATTATATTATATTAAAATATAATATAATATGTTTGTGGTATTTTTGATCCCCTGCCAACACTAAAGCTTTTGGAGACGTGGTTTGGTGCTTCCCCTGTTTTTTGAGCAAATAAATTTGAAAATCCAGGCGTATCCATCCAGAGGCAAATTTGGCATTTGGGGCTCATGGTCAACAATCTAGTCTTGAAATGAACTATTTTGAAGGAAAAACTACACAGAAAAGAAACAATTCCTTTGGTCCATGAAATCGATATTCCCTCGGTGACCCCTCCATGTCCTTTCCGGATGTGGCAGGATATGTCACTATCCACTAGCTATAAAAAAAATCGACCGCACGTGGTAACCCAAACGAAGATCACACTAAAACTGCCTCAAAAATTGGGATATCCTAAAAAAGGTCAAACAGCCATGAGCATTTCAGATGCTCAACAAAAGTCAGTCGTGTTGGCATCCCCATCGCAAAGTGGCAACTCTGAAAGATGAGCCATCAAGAATACCCCCTATCGGACCCTATCGCATGCCATTATACTCAATGCCGGCAAAGGTCCCCCAACGTTGCAGTCAACAGTCATTCCCCCATGGAACTACGCCCCCCAACTGCCAGGAAAAGTCACCCCAACTTCTTCGCCCATTGTAAACGCAACACTAAAATGAAAAAGTACAAAAAAATTATCATCCCTTTGAACCGTAGGTCTCCCTACTATGGGTCCTATGGGTTAAGTTAAGTCCCTCTATTAACCAACCAGGGCATTTTTTATGGCCAATATATGGTTATGGGTCACGACACAACACGACCAACCAACCAACCAACCAACCAACCAACCAACCAACCAACCAACAACCCAACCCAACCCAACCCAACCCAACCAACCCAACCAACCAACCCAACCACCCAACCCAAAAACCACAGTTTCATCACCTTTGGTACACCAACAAAATATCAACCATCTCAATTGTGGGTACCAAAAACACCAACAGACCCATAGTATCCCATATGTTGTGGTATCCCAGCAGTCCATAGCAAAATTTTGCGGATTTTTTTCTCCAGCCTCAGGCACATCTTTCACGATGTCCTCAACTGACCTCGGGGGGATTGCTCAGCCCAAGGCTGGCTGAGTACCGGAAGGATTTTTCGCTTGGCGATGAATTTTTGTCAATCGGCAGCATCCAACGAACAATTACCCGGCCTGGTAAACATACAAAAAGCTATTGAAAATGGCCATTTAGTTCGTTGATTGACCCATTAAAAATGGTGGATCTTTCCATAGTTTTCTTAATTTACCAGAGGGTACATCGTTGAAGCGCTTTGGCTACTTTGATCGGTCCAAAACTACAGACGCCCTTTGACAAGAACCTGAAACTGACGCCCCTGAGACTTTGGCCTGACACAATCAAATATCAGATGGATCATCACCCCTATATGGAAAATCAATGAAAATGAAAATCATCTACCGTTTGGTTATTTAACATAGCCATGGAAAATGGCCCATTATAGATGGTTTACCTGGGTTTACCCATTTAAAATGGTGATTTTCCATGGCTATGTTAAATAACCAGAGGGTAGTTAGCCCAGGCCCAACTATGAACTGAGATCCCTAAGGTCTGGAGGGCACCCAATTCTCAAGACGGCTGGGGTCCTCTCATGTGCCGAGGCACGTAAAATTCCAGCTGCGCTTGCTACGAACCTGGTTTCGAGTTGCGAGTGAATTTCGGGCACTGGCTGCTGGCTGGCTTCGAATCAAACCAGCGGCCAGAGGATTGGAGGTGCCATGCCATACATTTCCCAATGGAATCATTTCCCAATGTTCTGGTGTAAGAGAAGGGGCACCTGCGTTTCCAAATTTCATCACAAAGCGAAAAGCGAAAAGCGTTAAAAGCGAACTGGCTGGGGATCCACCGAAATCGAAATCCATCCGAAAAATGTCCAGCCCATCCCACTGTGCTCAGAAACTGCTTTCTTGTTGAAGTCATGCTCGTACTCCTCTCCTGGAATCCCAGGTCCCAAATTTCGGCCCTGCTGCTGTGTGTGTGGTTATATCTCCAAGCCCATGAGGTTCTAAATGATTAAACTAAGTTGTAGTGTATGTGATATATCAGATCACTGTATTACTGTATATCATATCCTATTATATATAATATAATATGTCATTTTAAATCAGATCAGATCATATCATGTCATATCATGTTATATTACAGTACCTTAGGTCATATCATATTGTATTGTGTATGTCTTAGATACATAGAACCATGTGCCCATTCTGGCCGTGCCTGTTTTCAAGCGCCAGCAGCTCTTCTTTCCCGAAATCTCCTGTTTGGTCTGGGTCAAAGTTGCCCTGGTTTCACGAGACTTCAACTTGGGGCCATGTACCATGTTATACCATGTTACAGATTACCTTCCGGTAAATGGGGCATATCATGGGATATTCATGGGATTAGAATGGGATATATCAGGGGATCGACCACCATCTATGGTGATACATTGATGATGATTTTTGATGGGATTTTTAACCAACCAACAATATGATAGATGAGTTACCCTCCGGTAATCAAATGTGGCCCAAATGGTATTTTGTTTCTGGTCGTTTCTTCACAATCACGAAAGGTTTGCCCATTGACATGCTGTGACTTCATCCGTTGAATCTGTTGAGTGGTGGGAAATGTCCTGAGTCAGATGATTCTTCCATATGACTATGGGTCAAAATGAGGTACCCCAAAATTATGGATGGTTAATACTAAACTAGACATTCACATCTGTGGTTCCTGTGGTTCCCTAGGTCTTCCATTTTGACCCACATCCATTCCATATGATTCCCATCAATTCATGAGCGTCGCTGTGATTCCCAGGCCTTGAAGGATGAACCTGACCAGGTTCAGTGATTTTTTGGATGCCGGAAACACCGCTGTTGACCATGATCTTTCTGCAGGGTTCCTGTTTTTATCTTCCCATCACAAGCAGTTCTGAGATTCAAAAAGTGAGCCAAAAAGTCATCACTTCCGGATGCGCCACAATTCAACTGAAGCTATCGCTTACTATGACAATGGATAACTGGGGACTGGGCACTGGGCACCATGTTAACCCGCGTTCAAAATACGACCGGGATAACAAAGAGATCCCGCCTTCTGCTGCCTCTGTGGTCTCAGTTGCCTGCCCAAGTTGGAACTTGGCAGCCAACGAGATAGATACCCTCTGGTAAACTAACCTAACTATGGAAAATCACCATTTTTTATGGGAAAATCCACTATAAATGGCCATTTTCAATAGCTACGTTAAATTACCAGAGGGTATGACATTGGTTTATATTGCTGTATCTTGCTTTATATCATAAATGCTATGTTGGTTTTAATCCCATGATATGATATTGGTGCATATTGATTTATATATGGGGATGGGTCAAAACCCTGGTACCTAGTGAACCCCAAAATAGGTGGTAAATGGATGTTCATCCCACTAAAAATGTATCTATAGGTATTGACCCATACCCATATGTTGTACATTAAATGGTATGTTGGTTTATATTGGCTTCCGAATCATGTGTGGTCATCAGCATCATCCGCAAACTTGATCCACTTGACATTACTTGGGATGATCTATGAATCTATGGCCCCCCCATACATTGATGTTTTGAGGTTTTTGTATCGGGGATTGCACATCAAACAGGGGTGGACCCCTGAAGTTCCATGGATTTTTTGAATCCTCATATTTCTTTTGGGTGCATACAAGCAACATCAACCAGGAAATTGCTTCATCAACCTCCCCATGTTCTTCGTAAAATATCCCATTTTTGGTCACAGTCCTCTCCCCATTTTTTGGAGCTAAAATCTTCCGCATCAGATTCTTGGATCCTCCAGCATGGTGATCCCCCATCAGGTCACAGGCTTTTTGAACATCAATTGGGGCCTACACTACCAATCTATGAATCAATTGGGCTTACACTACCTGTTATTTTATGAATACATGAATTGGGGATGGGTTTCTTTTACCCATTGGAGTATATTCATATTATTAATGACCCATCAATGGTAGGAGTATACCAATCTATCCGTGGGGATTGGCCGCCGGATGGCCTCACGACTGCTGGCAGTGGTGGCAACGGAATTGGCCTGGGAAAAAAAATGCCCCTTTTTGCAACTTAGGAAACCTCCTAGATGTCTACGGATAAATGTTATATATATATATTATATATATACACATATACTATGTATGTACATATATGTATGTATATATGCATATATCCAATAATGTACTATAATTATAGTGTATTTATAGCATAAATACATAAATATATATATATATATCTGGTTGGTGGTTTCAACCCTTCTGAAAAAAAAAATATTAGTCAGTTGGGATGATGACATTCCCTTATATGGTTAAAAATAATCCAAATGTTCCAGTCACCACCAACCAGATATATAAACACTATATCAATCACTAGGTATACCCTCTGGTAAACTAACATAACTATCGAAAATCACCATTTTTAATGGGAAAACTCACTATAAATGGCCATTTTCGCTATGTTAGTCATAACCAGAGGGTATCTATGGTCACACGGAAAAGCCCCCATTGGGAGATCTCCCATTCCTACCTCCAGAGAGGAATCGCCTGACGTCGGAACCGCCGTTGGCGGCTTGGGATCATCGGAATTGGGGAACTGAACCGCTGGGGAAACTGTGGTGACACCATCCCCGGCCACAAATGGTGGTGGCTATAAACTAATCATTGTAACTGGGATTATGGGATATTCTGACATGATTTTTATGGGATTGTAACTGTTGATATTAGTTATAATTCAAAGTATGGGATAATCATGGGATATAATATGGGATAATATGACATTGCGAAAAACTAAGATGTTTAAGATCATACCATCTGGTAATTCAACATGACAATGAATAAAAAACATCCACCATTGGCTGTTCGGCGGGCTTTACAGCTCGTTGTTTGCTCGTTGTTTGCTCGTTTTCAAAATCTCGAGTTGCAACCAAATGGGTTTTCAATGAGCCAACGAATGGATTGGTGTTGTTGGGAAAGTCTGACAACTGAACAACCACGGTGTGTTTACCCCCAAGTTATGACCAGAGTCGATCGAGTCCCGTTCCCCGTTTCCCCGTCCACTAGCCTATCGATTGCCATGTTTGTTAGCAATGTACCCTCTGGTTATTTAACATAGCCATGGAAAATCACAAGTTTTTATAGGTAAACCATCTATAAATGGGCAATTTTCCATGGCTATGTTAAATAACCAGAGGGTAAATGCTTCCTCTTGGGGTTTCCTATGGCTTTCCCAAGATCCATATCAGCCATATCATCAGCATCCCGAGCTCCCGAGCCTGAGGCATGGCTGCCATGGCTCTCCACAGGCACTGCCTCTTCTGAATTCGATTCCGCACGCTCCTCACGTTTGAAGTACCTCGCCATCAACAGGACATCCAAAGCGCAAAAAAAAGGGCATTGAATCAACAAACATAGAAATATGACCAAGAAGGAGATCCTCACCAAATAGATCCAAATAATGGAGTTTCGGAGTGGATAGTGTGGTTATTGGGGAGTTGCTATCTATCGCAAGCGTGAAAAATATTCATATTAGTGGGCTTTTTACGTGGTTTTCCTACTTTATGATCATCTATCCCAATATTCTTGGGAATCCTCATAATTCTAAAATAATGGCTATGTAGATACCCATGGATATTTTCATTCCCAAAAAGGTCCCTTGATCCTGGTTGAGTCGAAAAAGTACCCGGATTTTCCTCCACTGTTTTCCTTTGCAAATCTTCGTAGCTTCAATCTGCCCTGAAATATCCTCAAATCATGTTTGTTGATGTTTGTTGTTCACTAATGTCAGAATATCAATTGACATGTCCCTTAAGATCCTATCACCACCAAAGGCTCCCTCAGTTTCGACCCTTTCGACCCTTTCGACACTTTCGACCCTTTCGGCGCACCGCTTGCTCTTGGAGCCCGTGGCCAACATGTCTTTGGGCGGCAGACCCAAAATCTTCGTGATGCAGCGCAGTTGGTCATACTCGCACTGGCCTCAGCTGACTCGGCTGACTCCAAGGTTGTTGATCAAATTCCGGTGGCGATGAACATCTTCATTGTTGCTGGATGTTGCTGGTTTACAATCTGTCCATGATTATTCATGATTGTTGGTTTCAATCTTGGTGTCTGTTGTTTCTTCAATCTCCATGTTCGCTCCTTGAATCCCCAATGTTTATAGTTGGCTCCGAAACAAAAAACACAAAACCAATCAATATCATAGTTGAAAGAACCAGATATGTGGGTTTGTCTGAAAATAGGGTATATTCCCAATGAAATAGCCATTTAATAGGGATAATGATCAGCAAAACCATTGGGTTTAGGGGTGCACAACATTTTCAGACACACCCATATGGCCAACATATTTTTTAAAAAAATTGTCACCAGTTTGAACCCCACTTCGGAACTTCGAAACATCCAACGCCCGCCTGGAAAGAGGGGCAAGCCTAAGCAGAGCTCAGCAGAGATGCATCCCAAACTCCTCAGGGCGGGGGTGGCCTGTTATGGAGAACCATATTTCAGGTTTTGATCCATCTCCATGATGAAAAAAACCCATTTCGTTGGGATATATTAGTGATATATGGTTATGTAATTACCATCTGGTTATATATGTGTTACATAGCCATGGTTTTTCGATGACCCATAGAAATAGATGCTTTACCTATTACAAATGGTGATTTTCCATGGCAAACTGTTAGTCATAACCAGAGGGTATAGATGGGATGATTCAGTCAGATACCCTGCAGGAAAAATGTGATGGTCAGTGAGTCACTGGTTGAAGTCGATTTTGCCGCAAAAATTCACCTACTCAACCAAATCACGAAGAGCTTTTATCAGATGAAATGCCGGGAAACAATCAGATAATGGAAATAGTTTGGCACATTCTGGCTGACATGCACAAACCACAAGAACATAGACATACATAAATATATATACATACATTTACAGTACCGTTTGAAAATGCTATCAATCTCATAACAAGACCATTTCGGGAAACAACCCTGAGATGTGGGATCCCACGGAAACTAAGCCACCCTCAGATGTGATCGATCTGCGTGGGCAACTCCCAGGCTCATCTCTGATTTGCTGGGATATACTGATAAACATGGCTACGAGAAAATATACCCTTGCACAGAGGTTTTCACACCAAAATGGCTAGACACTGAAAAAAAAACAAAACTTTTGACTACTGGAAAAAAAATAAGGTTCACCCCTACTCTCCACACTTGAAAAAAAAAACTAAAAAAAACTTAAGACACTAGAAAACAAAAAAAAACTTCAGACACTGGAAAAAAATTAAGAATCTGTACTTTGAGAATCTGTACTTTGAACCTTTTGCAGCTGACATCTCTTATTTGTACAATATTTGCAGGGTTTGGGCACTTAAACATGCAATTGCATGACAAATGATATTTAAAGCGTTTTGGCCTTGAATAATTCAATTTTGTGCAGCTGAAATCTCTTATTTGTACAATATTTGCAGGGTTTTGGAACTTAATTATGCAATTTGCATGGTATTTAAAGCGTTTTGGCCTTGAATCCCTTGTTTGCACCGTGCTCGCAGCATCTTGGAGCCAGCATCTGTACTATGCAGGGGATTATCTGCAGCATTTCGTGTTATTTGCAGCATATTGTCTAGAGTTAGTTTTTGGGTTGGTTAGGGTGTATGGGAGATCAAAGGATGAGAAGGGTAAAGGACCAGGATGAGGAGGGTAAGGGACCAGGGGATCAAGAGGACCCAGGGACCAGGGGACCAAGGGACCAAGGGACCAGAGGGCCAGGGGACCAGAGGACCAGGGGACCAGAGGACCAGGGGACCAGAGGACCAGGGGACCAAAGGATCAGGGGAACCTTAAATTGTTTTTCCAGTAAATTTAGTTTTTTTCCAGGGTCTTAGATTTTTTTTCCAGAGGAAACTTAGAATTTTTTCCAGTATCATATCATCTCCACCAAAATAGCTGTCGAAGAGCTTAATGTTCATCCACTATCAACCCTTATTGCTAGTGACCCATCCCCAGAAATTATCCTGGTATCCGCAGCTTGGGTATGTCAAATCCTTCCTGTTTGCTCGTCCCCCGTTGTTTAGTGCTTGAATCAAAGTCATCATTCACCAACTTTCCTTCATGACCATGTCTGTCATTCATCCATCTTTCATGATCTTTCATCCATCTTTCATGATCTTTCATGATCTTTCATGATCTTTCATGATCTTTCATGGTCATCATGTGAGGATTGTAGGTCATCCCCATGGCTTTTTTCATCCCCTCCCAACCCCCCATCCCAACCCAAAAATCCCCAGCTCCAGAGGTCAATGGCGCTGCTGTAGGGAAGACCCAAAATCACCTCGGGTGACCTGCACAGAATCCGAACGGCCTCACTGTGATATCAAAAACATGTGGGGATGGGTCAAAACCCTGGTACCCCTGTAGTTCACATCAAAATAGCTGGGATTTATGGATGTTCATCCCACTAAAAATGGTATTTTCATAGGTATTGACCCATACCCATATATTGGAATATACATAGACAAATATGATTAACATATATATCACATATCATGGCTTTGTCAGATATATGCCCAATCTATGGCCACGGGGAAAGTGAGGTGTTTTCCATACTGAAGCTTTCTGGGACCTGACAGGAAGTTGGACCTGCATGAAGCACCAAACGTGGAGATATTGGCTGAATTGGAAGATTGCCATCAACTACGTCGAATAGTTCAAAAAGTTCCAATCAGGAGGAAATTCAGAGAAGCACAATTTACCCAACACTAGGGGCAAATCGTGAAGAACACAATTGGATCTGAGAGTTGATGTAACTATCAGGAATGGGAAACAAAACATCATATGCCATTTGGAGGGAATTTTTTCCATCTATTTCCACGCCATTTTTCTGCCTGGTTTTTTTTCGTATGGAGATGGTGCTGGACATCGGCTCGTTTTTCGTCGAACGGGCCTATAGAAGCGCGATTGGATGTAGCTGTGGAGCATCGAGCTCTCTGTGCACGCAGACCCGAAGTCGATCAACTTGATCCTGGCATCGCTGTTTAAGGATCTTTCAACCAAAAAAATAGTATAATATATATATATATATTATCTGGTTCTGGTTTAGTATAATAGATTATCTGGTTGGTGGTTTTTAAAAATTGTCTGAAAAATATGACTTCGTCAGTTGGAATGATGACATTCCCAATATATGGAAAGTCATAAAAGTCCACGGTTCCAGTCACCACCAACCAGATATATTTTAATTAATGTTAATATAACCCATATATACCCATAGAAATAACCAGATATAACCAGATATAACCATAGTAAATGGCCATGTTCCAGTCACCACCGTTCCCAGATTATGGTTGTAAAGATCCTGACATCTATAGCTGCACAATTGTTGTTGATCCCCTGAAGATCATGTTCATCCCCAACTTTTTTTTGCTCCCGGTCCTCATAGGCATCATGCTGCACACCATCACATTCCTCGGGATGGCGTTGAAGAAAACGTGGACCATTTTTCGATGGTTTTTGGCCCCCAAAAAAAGGGATAGAAAGTTGCAAAATGCTACTAGAAGAGTGATATCAGTGCTTCTCTATCTTTTTGGGGGTTGCTAAATACATACAAATACTGGTGGACTTAAGAAAAATACAGGTTTTTTTCAGAAAAAAAAAAGTGTACTTGCTGCTGATCAATGGATTGATTCGATCAGGGCAATTTGTGGGAAGCCATGGGTTTTACCCAAGAAATAGATGGGGGTTTCGAGCCCTTTTTTCATGGTCGCTGAAACCAATTGGGGATGGCCCTCTGGTGGTTCCCCCGGGGCGATGATCTTTCCCCAGATCCAGATTGCAGTGTTGAAAAACCAGGTCCTCCAAAAATTTTCGGAGACTTTCAGCTCAAACAATCATGAATTGGGTGAAAGTCATCCCCAATGGGATACCGGGATACCATCGTTTTTTTAATCCCTGAAAAGTACCGCATCTCTTGTTTTGATCCCCATTTTGGGCTCCCTGGACTCCACCATTCAGAACAGGACGGACTTCATGGTTTGTGAATCATCCACAGAATTTGAAAAGTGATCTTCATCAGTTCTAAGATAGCATCTTTATAAGTATACCATAAGTATACCTTGGTTTTTTGAATTGATCCATTGTCACAACCTATTTTTTCTGTGCAACACACCAAAAAAGAATGGTGAAGTATACCCATCTACAACTGGAGATGTACACATGTCACTGGCTAAGAAACTAATATGTGTTTAAACAAAACTGAACAATTTTTGTAGCATCTGGTTATGACTAACAGTTCGCCATGGAAAATCACCACCATGCTATTAAGAACGGTGTTTACCATCTATTTCGATTAGGGCCATCTATGCCGGCAAGGCACTCCGGCTTGAGGTCACAGTGGATCAGGGACGCATGATTCAGACATCGCAATGCCTCACACGATGAAAAAGCGCGTTGGGTCTCAAAATGTTGCTCTCAGCAGTAGAAATTTAGAAAGATCATGTTGGTATCACTAGAAATATCATGTAAATATCATGTAATATATATGTGTTTCAGTCAGTTTATCTCAAATCAAACGGAAAAAAAAAAGTCATAAGTCTACGTGAAGGATCAATCAGGACATCATCAACAAAGGATTGGGCTTCGGCCAACGATCACACATATTTTGTTTGGGTCTCAATACATAGGGAACTCAGCTTAGGCTGGTTTGGATCCTAACGGTCCATATGGGCCGCACCAAGAGCCGCAACGGGTGGTCTTATATACCTTGCAACAGTTGGGCAAGTTTTTAGAGTATTTCATGAAAAAAATCCAGAAACTTTGCTGGTTATGGTTGACATTATCCCAAAATATATTCCCACTCTTCATCTATGAATTACCATCTGGTTATGACTAACAGTTTGCCATGGAAAGATCCACCATGCTATTAATAGGTAAACCATCTATTTCTATGGGTCATTTTCCATGGCTATGTTAAATAACCAGAGGGTAACTCAAATTCCAGAAATTTTGCTGCTTAACCCATGTTCACCAACCACCGGCAGCTTTACCTACTATGTTCACTGTATCCCCAACTATATCATGGACCTTAAATCCACATGTTGGCTGGTAAAACCTTGTGCTGGCTGCGCTGGCTCACAATGTTCGCTTCGAAAAACCTCCTTTTTCTGGTTCCATGCCGCTGCTGCTTCAATTCCTATCTGGTTGGTGGTATACCTACCCCTCTGAAAAATATGAGAGTCAGTTGGGATTATGACATTCCCAATTAATATGGAAAGTCATAAAAGCCACGTTCCAGTCACCACCAAGCAGATAATTGTATATAATTATATGTTATATAACCCATATATATATATACCCATAGAAATAACCAGATTTTTCACCATAGTAGTCATGGCCATGTTCCAGTCACCACCAGTTCCCAGATTATGGTTTGATCGTTGAATCCCACCTCCAGGAGTTCGCGCGTGACGCTCTGGTTGGTCGCCATGGCCACACCTGGGAGGCATGGGAATTGATGGGATTTAATAGTGGTTTAATATGGTTTAATGGTGATTCAATGGTGATTTAATGGGAATTAATGGGATTAATTAGGATATATGATGGCATACCCTCTGGTTATGACCAACATAGCCATGGTATAGATGGCCCCAATCGAAATAGATGGTTTATCTATTAAACATGGTGGATCTTTCCATGGCTATGTTAGTCATAACCAGAGGGTACCCAGAACAACAATGATAGCATAAAAAAAGGTGCCAATGGTAACAATGGTCTATAAGCATCGAGTGCCAAGAATAACAAGAACAAAAGTTCTGTGTAATGATATTGGAGTACCAGTAGGAATAATAAAGTACCAATAGCAATACTCAAATTGCCCAGATAACAACAATACTAGAGTAACAATAGAGTACCAAATGTAAGAATATGTTGTAATAATAGAGTAATAGCTAATGATAGAGAGTAACAGTAGAGTAATGACATAGCAATAATAGACTGATAATACCAAGAGAGTAACAATAGAGGAACAACTAATCATATGCAATGATACTAACAGTAGTACATAATATCAATATTGACAATATAATATACCAGTGGTTTAACCAATTAATACATATCAGTAATGGGAATATAATATGATATTGATATAGTGCAATAGATATGACTAACCAACAACATGATATCTCTAAAAAAGGGTGCAGCCTCAATATAGCACTGTATACATCTTTATACAGTAGGGGAAATGATCATACAACATGGTTTGGTTAAAGTATCCTATTTTTTGACAAATCCAGCTTGGTTTCCCCAAAAAAAGAGACCGACTCCGCCGGTTCTTCATCAGTTCTCCCCAGCCCCGAAAAAGCGGGCTTCCTATCGGGCCTTTGTAGTTGTTCCACTTCAGGAATTCCAAGAGGTTCATATCCAACCTGGCCAAAATGCTGCAGTGGTGCCATAGAAAAAATCGATGTTCACCCTCTGGCAAATAGTTGGGAGCCGGAGCCATGGCCCATTGAGTTACACGATTTACCTATTAAAACTGGTAGCTTTACATGGCAAACTGGCACGAATTACCACAGAGTATTATCATCGTGATATTGTTATATACTTCCATATGCGGATCCAAAATATCCCCATGAAATATCCGCTCTATATAATAATAATATATATATGTATATATATATAATTATATATATATCATTGTATCATTATATATCTTCATGTTGTATCCCATGACATCCCCATTGATGGGAAATCAACTTCCATTTCCAAGAAATCGGATTCACCGGATCGGGCCCATTTTTGGGGCTCCCCACAACTCGAAGGCGATGCACAGATGCTTTCGGAAGACGAAGGCATCCAACATCCGCACGATGTGCTGCCTGACATCAACGAGTTGGGAGGCTGGGCTTCCGTGAAAAACTTGACGTTTTTTATCGTTTTGATGCGAGGAATCCCTAGCCATCTTGACCAATCCATAGCCGTGACATGCCATGACCCAACTCGGCGGCCCAGCGTGTCGTCGGAATCGAAAAGGGAATTCAAACGTTTCAGGATGTTCGCTTCCACACAGCCCTGGCGGAAGCAACTGGGTGATGTGACCCACCCTCCCATGGTCCCATGGCTACCTCCAAAGATTGGATTTGTTTGAAATGTCCCCCAAGTGAAAGGCAGGTTGAATGGGACAATGATGAGAAACACAGGGACTTGGTGCCAAAAAAAGAGATCAATAGTTTCACATGGTTTCACTTCCAGAGTCAAGGATGCAAGGCATGGTGTGGAGCCGATTCTGCTCAGGGAGATTCAATATGGATGTGTCCAAAAACTGGGTTGGACCCCCAAATCCATTGGTATTGTCATCATCTTCTCTGTCAATTGCCATTTTGGGGGGATCCCTATTTCAGACACACCCAACAAGAGATTCCCGTAGCCATAGCATGATGAGAAAAGCGCAGCCAGCGTTTACCCATTTGATGTGGTAAAGAAAATATTAATGATGGATTTAATATCCATATCGTGGAATAAAAACCATTTCATGGTTTATACCGACTTTACCCAACTAATGTGGTGCATGAAAAAGTAATACAGTAATCATAATGACAATGATTCAATGATACTAATAGATATCCACCAATTCGACCCTTTGGCGTTCATCTACAACATTTAAGAGTCAGAGTTTCAAATCAGTCGTCATTCCATGAAAGGTGATCTTCACCACATTCCCAGCTCATATATTTTGATCATGTTCAATCATTAAGCATTCCAATTTCCCACCAAAGAATCGCCCATCGTGTCGTCCTGATTGAAGTACGCAGGTCGGTTCTTGCTGATTTTCAGCGCTACAAACCTTGATGGCGACCAGTCTTGTGGATGAGTCCCATCCGAAAAATGGCGACCCGGCCTGGTAAACGTTTACAAAAAACCATGGAAAGATCCATCATTTTTTCATGTTTAATGGGAAAACGAAAACGATTACGATAGAAAGATCATAGATCCATCATTTTCAATGGGAAAACTCACTATATCTCACTATTTCGACTGGGCCATGTTCAATAGCTATTTTGACATAACCAGAGGCTATATAGAATCCAACTAACTTGACCCTGGCTCATCTGGGCAGTGTTGAGAACGGGCTTCCCAGTTCGTGCATCCGTGGATCTCAACATATGGGCTACCATAGCTAGGATCATCCCCTACAAAGGGTAGTATAAATTGGCAATGAACAGGGATAAAAAAAGGTAGTCTACCCCTGTTGATTGGCAATCCTAGGGATTAACAGGGATATTCTACAGCTAATCATGGTAAATTGGCTAATTATCCCCCTGGTAGTTTTTGATATCCCCGAACTAATCATCAACAGCTGTAGATCGCCACTGCTCAGCTCGGAACGACTGGTCCACCTGACACTTCAGAACTTGACCAAAGCTGCCTTGTCCTGTGGAACAGACTGGAACTATATGGCAGTGTGTCAAAACCAATAGTACCCCTGTAGTTCACATCAAAATAGCTGGGATTTATGGATGTTCATTCCCCTAAAAATGGTATTTTCATAGGTATTGATCCATACCCATATGTAGTAACCCCCAAAAAAGAGAGAAAAAAGTAAGGCATCACGATTTTTGTAGGATGTTACTTTTCCATCTTTGTGGGGATTAACTTTCTGGGAGTAGTCCTATCGTAGCTAATCTTAGATACCCAGCTGAATTCGCGACCGGGTCATGTAACCAAGAAGATGGGGACGGACCATCAACGCCACTTATTTTGGTGTGAAAACCAGAGTGCTAGGATTTGACTCATACCCGTATACCCATGACAAACTGGAGGTACAAATGCCATCAAATGCCTACTAAAAGTACCAAGCCACTGGTGGTCGGCTGGCATTCCTACGGTGGCGTCATGGCCGCCTGATGGCCAGAAACCTCGAGATCCCCAAGAAGATAACAAGTTATCGAGCTATCGCCACACCTAGCATTAGTTGTCATCATGAGTATATAAAATAACTAGTCACCCGATAAAAATGGTGTATATATATAATCATATAAACTGAGCAAGTTTCATGTGAGAAATTCCCCTCCATCTCCCAATCCCATGACCTAGACTCTCCAGGATTTCGTAGGACTTATTGGCATCCTGGCAGCTGCAGGACGAGGTACCTACCATATATCAGGCCTATTTTTCAGGCCTATGTTTCAGTATGTTTCAGGGAATATCCCCAGAAAATATGGCCTTGTAGGGTACAGTACCTCCATTTTAGGATCCTGAAGATCTCCCATTGATTCTAGGTATAATTCATAGATGCAGAGTGGGAGAATGATGGGATAATGTCAACCATAACCGATAATGTCAACCCTGGATTAATAAATAAACCCTGGACCCTGGTTGATGAACTATGGGTGGCATTCTCTATAATTAATGGCGAAGAATGCGACGTTTGTATATGTGATCTAATTCATATCGGATATTCATGGGATCTAGCCAAGGAACAATATATAAGGATATATAATGATTATATGTTGGAAAATGTTGGAAACAATAGGACGTTAATATCGGGACACAAATGATAATAAACCACCCATTTGGGAATGGTTTATAGCACCTATTTATGGTGATTTGGGGGGGTGGTTTATTATTGTTTTAACCACATGATCGGGATACAAATGATGCAAGATCTCAAACTTCTTACCATGCTGCGCTTGTGGATGGTCACTTCATGGTCTCGCCGTGCTGCCCCTTGGGTCCTGGTTCATAACCTTGTCTCCAACGTGACCTGCACGATGCAAATCATAGCGGAAGTCGCGAAAAATCCATGGATTGCTGATAAGCCACAAAATACCATGATTTATTGCTTAATATATGATAATATATATATATATGATATTTTAAGATAAATTATAAGATGAATTATAAGATGTATACCATGGATTTTGACCCTTCTGGATTTTGTGACCCTTCTGGATCTTGCAAAATATAACCCGTTGAAAACTGGACCATCTGCCGAGCTGCAGATGTAGTTGTGTTCTGCGTTGTCCAAACCTGGAGGCAGGCACCACACGCTTCAGTATAGGCAGGCAGCAAGAACCATGGGGTTTCCCTTGAAAAATCCCTACTGGTGCTTAGTAAGGCATGGATGGGTTGCTGGGGGTTGCTGAGATGATTATTGATACTTATTGTGGATCATTCCCGAAAATTCCCTGCGTTTAGCACCAGCAAGAAAATCGTCAATATCTGGAAACATGTTTTACAGTAGCAACTTTCAAATGCGCTCAGCAAAAAAATCACCGTGCACCCATCGAACCGAAAAGCGGCCTCCATTGTGAACGCCATTGCAGGGCCAAGTCAATGTTCGCTTCGGATTCCTCACAGAGGGCCCATCGTTTTTGTCAAAAAAAACATCAACATCTACCCTCTGGTAATTTAACATAACTATGGAAAATCACCATTTATAGTGAATTTTCCCATTAAAAATGGTGGATCTTTCCATAGTTTTCTGTAAACGTTTACCAGAAGGTACCGACATCGACCGACATCAACATGGCCACCAGGTGACGAATTGGTTGAGTAGGCATACTCGCCAGAGCCTCGATGCCGGAAATGGATCACAGATATAGGGTTTTCGAAGATATTCGACACCAACAAGCAGGGGATATTGATCCAGTATGATCCAGTAAAACAATGAGCTTGGTTGCTTTTTTTTCAATTTATTACATTTGCTCTTCGGAACAAACACAGGAATTGCACCACCTGGGTTGAGCCACCTGAATCCATGGAGACCACCGGCAGGCGCTGATATATAAAGAAAAACACGAAAACCTGAAACCTGCGAAGAATCCTCTACCTTGGGTTATATCTTCCATGTTTTTTCAGGTGTTCCACATTTCGTAAGCACATTGCGTTGCGTTTTCCGAATATCTGGTGAACTCTGGTACCTGGGCCCCCGGGCAGTTGCTGTAAACTTCAACGATCCGCACGGTGAGCGCCCTCAACAACGGTCCATGTCTTCTCTCCTGGCGCAATTTTTTTACGGCCTGGAAATGCCTGGAATGCGCGTGATGATACGTGACGTGTCAGAAAATGGAAGGGGCAGTCAATGTCAATTGGGGTATTTTTGTAAGTGCAAAAGCTCAATCTCTCTTCTACTTGTTTACCATCTGCTACCTGAAAAAAAAAATCACTGGGAAAACCTTGAGCCTGTCACCTGTCATACCTTGGTGCTTCCATTGGTGACTCGATGGCCTGAGGGGAAATGGTATATATATATATATGTAGGAAACCAGCATATACTGGGGTCATCATCTTTTCTTGAAAAAGATACGTATCGTAAGCCCCAAAAGGATAGAACAGTAATTTGCCAGTGTTGTAGTAGGATTTTACTTGATCTTTTTTGCTGGCTTGCTATAAGTTGCTACACGCTTTTAAACAAATTGCCCGTCAATTATTGGCAAAACATGCACCGAAATGCAGGGTCTGTGAGATTTCCCATGCTCATAGATGATGATTCACACGCACACACCGGCGGTTTGTTTGGAACTTCTCATACTAGTATCATCTACAGAAAACATCATCAATCTTTGCCAAACGGGCATCGATATCATAGAACCTTCAATGCATTGAGAATCCATAAGACAAATAGTTCATTTCATCTTCAAAACCCAGCATTGAACCTATCATCATCTATCATCTAATTCGCAAAAGCCATCGAAATGGCAATCCAACACTTTTGCCAACTGGGCTTCCAATGGCTCCTGGCGAGGGCCAGTCGTCTCCTGACCGTGCGATGAAAATTCTGAAACCAGTTTGGGGAATCCGGAGGCGTCCAAAGTCACTGGGGGGTACCCCAAATCATTCAAAAATAGACCCTGACTTAGTATTGAAACCCATTGTTTTGGGGGATCCCCCATTTTAGGAGATTCTATTTTGCAAAGACATACAACCGAACTACCAATGGGGAATAGAAAATCCCCAACCATGGGGATATTCTTTGAGACTTTTTTATGGTGATATTTGTAACCAACATCAACCAACAATATCATGATGTGGAAGTCTTCCTTGCTTTCTTCACCATCTCACCATCCTTCCCACGGCTGGTATCTCTTTGAGCGGCGGTGGATTGTTTTGAAGTCAAAAAATTATCCTTTGGTAATTTAACATTTAGAGAAAAATTTGTATTTTTCCATACCTATATCCATTACTCAAGAAATGTATTGTTTTGGTGAGATGATACCATAACAATAGCTATGGAAAATCTGCCATTTCGAGAGGACCTTAAACCGGTCATGTCATCAGGATCCAAGGGATCCAAAACCTCCCCACAGCTTACTGAAATTGGAGAGCCAAAGACAACCCAAGGTCATGGTTTTCCTGGATTTGAAACCATGAAAATCATCCATTAATCATCCAGGAAAACCAACTGGTTGGAGATTTCTAGGTCAATCAACTGGATGGTTTTCCTGGATGATTAATGGATGGTTTTCATGAGATGGTTTTCATGAGATGATTAATGGATACAAAAAATGGATGGAACATCATGTGAACATGGTGATATGTTCCATAAACCAACAAAAATCTGCTACAGATCCCCTTTGTTGAATCCCTCAAGTTGAAACCTCCACACTCATCTTCCCCTCTCTAAGCCAGGGGAAAATCGACAGAAACCCTGGCTCTTACATGTTCTCACCACTGAAAATGGTGGTTTTCATAAGATTCCTGTAAGGTCTTCCTTCCCTTATAGTAACCCCCAAACTAGATGCCGAAAAGTGCGAAACCAGGATGCTTCGATGATGTTTGTATAATCCCCTATAATCATCAACCAACAAGGGTTTTAACCCATCCCCATATATAAGTTTACCTCATAAGGTGGTTGTCAATACTAAAATGGTCTAATGACTTGGATGATTTAGGGGTAATGTGGGTAAAACAATGCCATAAACCATCCCCCAGTCATCACAATCTTTTTAGGTGGTATGTAAAAACCATTCCCAGTCATAGATGTTATTTCTTCCCACATTTGTCATGAATATAGATATACGAAATATGCCCCCATATAACCATAGATAATACTATAGATATATCCTATAGTATTATCCCCATTGATATAACTATAGTGATTTTACCCCAATTGATATACTATAACTATAGTGATTTTACCCACATTATTCCCATTAAAAAAAAAAAAAACCTCCATTTTTTGGAAAACCTACCTCCAAATCTCCAGGTTTTTCCCAGCCTTGTCCTCCATTGCCGGGCGCGTCACATGGGCGCGCCAAGGGGCGGGGACCGGCGCAGCAAAAGACTGCACCGACCCGGGAGGACGACTAGAGCCAAAGGTGGGAAAAAATGCTGGGATGATAAACGAAATATGTATATATATATGTATATATATATGTATATATATATATAATTATATATATATATGTGTGTGTGTTTGTGTATGTTAATATAGTGACCCAAAAAAATGGATGTTTGAAAAGGTTCGATTTACCATGTGTTTAGGATTGGACACTGGACTATACATACACAAACCACATCTTTTTGAGGGTTGCTATAACTTCTATCAGCACAAGGACCAGATGTTGGCCTATAAAACTAGGGATGATGATGGGGAATATTTACAACATCCAGATCATGTCGGGGAATAGAACTTATGGCAGGTTGAGATTGACCAAACGATATCACGAAAAAACCACCAGATCATCTGGAATCTTGGAGATATGGGAAAATAAACCATGTCCATTCACAGTCTTTTCTAAACAACCCAAAAGCACTGGAACAACGACCTGCACCTGGGATAAGTTGTGCCATAATCAGCCATCGGGGACATCAAAGCCACAAAATAAAACATGATCGCAAAAATGAAAAAAACAAAAAAACAATGTGATTTGGACCACTTTGCATTCCAACATATTCCAACCACTTAAAGTGATTTCAATGATTTCGACCGCTACCGACTTGGCGACTTTTCGCTGTCACACGGCTCCGCATGGGAAGGATCCCGCGGAACGAGAGGCACCGAGGCAGAACGTTTCGTTGGTCGAGACCAGATCTTGTGGGTTTCGACTGGATGTGCATCATTTAGTTAGGAACTTCTTAATATTCGAGAATTTAAGATATATGTTAAGATATAGATATATATTATTATATTATTATATATAGTACATTATATATATATATAGTACATTATTTATATATATAGAGAGAGAGAGCTCATATATAACGTACGTAACCCCCAAAGAACTGGAGATATTGGGTTGCTGGGCTTCAAAATCTGAGACATATCATCCCAGTGATGCACAATAATTTAGCGCCCTTGGAAGCCGTCAACCAGTGTCTTCCAGACGTGTTTTGAACGGAGCAGTTCCTCTCAGGAACAAATTGAGGTCTAATGACTCATCGAAGCGGTAAAGAAAGCTGGAAAACTATGAAGTGTTTCGGGGTCTCCCGAAACTGAAAAAAAACTATATCTAAAAAAAAATGTTCCACGCAATGTACATCCGCCATGATATTGATGAAATATTGATGAAGGCTACATCCCCTTCATGATTTCTATCCCTGCCATCCAGGTCGCGAGATCATACCGCAGCAACATGATGCGGAGCAGTGTCACCATCATCCCATCCCGCTGATATCAAACACCACCGTTGGATGCTTCCAATGATAAGGAAATTCCCTACTTCCCTACTAAACCATGGAGTTTATATGTCAAAATAGAACTTAGCCATCTTTGAAATGTTGATTTTTTGGGGGGGGGCAACAGATCTGCGACAGATCCACCAAATGTAAATCTATCACCAACCATGGGATGGTGGGTTTGAGTCAAGCGTTGACACTGCTCAAGTCAAATAGATCGCACCTTCGAACCGCCTACGGCAAACTCCTTCAAAGTTGCAGTAACGGTGCGATGGCACGACAATATGAGGGCAACCACCACAGATGTTTCTAAGTCATCTGGGGCGGTTTAAGTTTTAAATCATAATGCAACTGACGCTTGTCAGGAATTCAGAAAAAAATAGGTCTAGTTCCCCATTTTTTGGGGGATGCGCGGCCGCAAATTCTGTGTCACAAAGCAAACGATTTTCAGGTGACCACGGGATAACCATGTGTTTCTTCCCGATGAAGCCGCTGTCCAAAAAGAACAATTGACTTATGTTTGATTAGTGGTGTTTTGGAAAACGGTTATTTTTGAAGTTCTCTCGTTCCCGGCAATTTGACATGTGTAAAAATTGCATATTCAACAACAAAGGGGTCCTATCAAGAAGTATTTTTCGATTTGTTCAGAAAATACACAATTGAAACTAACATTAACCTTCAAAAACATTTTTTTTGAGGTGGTTTGTCTTCAAAATGATGTGTTTTTTTTTGGTGCATTTATGGCCAACACGTTTGGCCGCAGACATGGCCTCACGGCAACATGTCCCCGGCAAATTTTCGGATCAGCCCTTCCTTGGTGGAGGATTCCAACGAGAATTCTGCAACGAGAATCCACGTCACAGATTGTTTTTATATCCGATGATGTACCCATATCATTGTTGGGGTTTTTGACAACCCCTGTCTGTTGTTGGTATCCAAAAGAATTGCAGTCTATAGTTATATCCAACGTCCAAGTTTTTCATGTGTTAAAATTGGTTGATGTTTTTTTGGTTGGCTAAATCCCCATGTTTGTTGGCCAAGTCCTCATTTTGGTTGCTAGATGTTGGATGATGTTGGCTAGATCCATATTGTTTGCTCGTAAATATCCCATATGGGGATGGGTCAAAACCCTGGTACCTAGTGAACCCCAAAATAGCTGGTAAATGGATGTTCATCCCACTAAAAATGTATCTATAGGTATTGACCCATACCCATATTGTTTGGTAAATATCCACCTTTTTTCACCTTCACCCCAGAAAACAGCCAAGGTGATCTCCCCATTCCACAGCCAAGGTTCAAGTGGCAACATCTCATCCATTCGGACCAGTTGAAACCTCGCAAACTCGGACAAAAAACCACGGACTCTCCATGCAATGCTGGCGGTTGAGAAAAGCGGGGAATTCACCAATTGATAATGGTGTGGATGTGTGGTAAGTGAGTTTGTGAGGTGTTTTTGTTCGTATTTTTGGTGGTATTGTTTTATTAACACTATGCATTTAGCCGACAAACATGGGGGGGTTGACCAGCATGGGTTTACAGCATGAGGAATTTGAGTTTAGTGGGATATAATCCGATATTCTACCATGAAAAATGTGGAGTGTAAAACCAACAATGGTGCAACTAAGGAAGTTTCCAGCAAGTCAACAACCAAAACAATGATATTTTGTTTGGAATGGTGCGGCTAACAAGGAATGGGATTCAACACGAATAATGCGTTTAATTTATTTAACCAGAAATGTGTGTGTTTGAAAGTGTTTGCCAACAGAATTCGGGGATGTCACACCAACAAAAACCATGCAAGAAAATAGCAGGAATTCAACCAGCAAAATTCGAATTTCATCGGCAAGAATTGGGATTTGGTGAAGATTCGATCCCACATTTAGCCCCTGGTGTCCGAACATCGCCTAAACCGTCGGCCGTCGAAAGTGGTTGGTTGAGTCTAGCCATTAGGAACTCCAAAAAGTGATCAGTGTAACCATATGGTTAAAAAATACTTATATACACTACAAAACAAGGTGGGCCAGAAAACCCAAAAGCAAGACGGCGCACAGCACACCTGTTTTTTCTCAAAATAATGCGTTGGTGTGGGCCGCTGTGCTCTGCACGAAATCGACGCAAGATCTTTTTTCAGACATCGTGAACACTGATGGTATCAGGGCCACTATTGACGACAGCATGCTGCGTCAGCTACGTCTACATTCTTTCAATCATTATTTCTGCGACTGTGACTCTATCCCCATTTCAATTTTGGTATTTTTTTTGCTTGCCAATCTGTAAAAATGAATGGGGATACAACCAGCTACAATATAGGCGGTCACTACAGAAAAGCTTAAACTCGATCAAATGAAATTTTGCAGTGATTTTTGTTTTGCTTTTCGGGTTTAGGACGGTTTTGGGTGATTTTTGTCAGGTCGCAGGACGAAAATGCGCTTGTGAACAAAACCTTCTTGACGCATAAAAGAATGAAGACAGCGCGTAAGGATGCGTAAGTAAATACATGAAATACCTACTGACCTACTGTAGTTTTGATGATTTTTATTCAGAAAGCGGATGCAGCTGTGCAAGAGGGTGTGTGGGCGGTGCGGGCAGGACCCCTGCGCGAGGCAGGGTGAATTACAATTCAGCGGAACCCCTGGACAGCCAGAGGCGGCCTTCGCACCTGTTTTTATGGACCAGGCATGGCAGGAAATGCAGGTTTAGGAAAAGTGGGGTTGCTGGCTGCTAGGTTTCTTTCTCCCCTCGCAGGCATTCGCGCGCACATATGCGTTGCAGCTTGCCATGATGGTTTGTCTACTTTTCCTCTTCTTCTCCCCCGTCGCCAACACATTGCCCTCGGCCAGCCCGTGCACGGCCGCCCTTCGCCTTGTCACCTCTCGCCAGGGCTCTGTCATCATGCATTCTGCATTCAAAATAATAATGCCAGTGTCAGCCAGAAATGGGCCATGTAACAGGGCACCGCATAAAATGCAAGGAAACATGCGAGATACAGCCAAATAATGTACAAGCCCGACGCGGTGCTAAATTATTTGCCAGTTAGCGGGGGCCACAAGAAGGGACGTGATTTGCAAACCTCCGCGGCATGCCCCAGCCCCGGTCAGGAATACATGGGCAACTGTATTTGGGTCGGCCTTGGGCAAGGGCGAAGGACAGCACGGGAGACACGCTGGTCAAGTCCCAAATGGTGAAATATGGCGCACCAAGGTGCATGTTGCAAAGGTTGTGTTTGAGTTTACGGTAGTTTACGGTTGAGCCAGCGCAAACCGTAAAGACGCGTTTTTTTGTGCATAAATGGTTTCAAGTCCCTGAAAACTTCCTGCACCGCTTTCCACAAGTGTTTGCCTGAAGCGCAGTGTTCACTGCATGCAAGCGAACATGAACATAATTTTCGCCACACCTCACCCCACCTCACTCTTTGCAGCATCTTCCCGCTCCACTCCACCTCACCCCGCCCCACCACCCTAACACCTTGAGTTGGCTCAAAGCTCCATGACACGCAGCGTGCACGGCTTGATTGAATGTGAGAGTTGGCGCGCAGATTGATGAAGCATAGCCAGCACTGCGGGTAACAAGTCAACATGAACGTTATTCTCACACGATCCCACCCCAACAACACGGAAAAGACCGAACAGTGTTGCACACTCCCGCATCTTCACAGGCGGGGTTCGCACAAGTAGGGGGCGCTGCCCCGCTTTGTAGCTATCTGGCAGTTAAAGTCCACCAGCGCCTGAACCATCTTAACATGGCATACGGTACATGACATTCAGGCATTCCCCCTTGTCAGCAAGCCATCTCTTTGCCCTGTTTTGTTTGACTTGCAGCATGCGTTCGGCCTAAAACATTGCTAAAACCTCACACGTACATAGAACCCCTTCTGATTGTTTACATCAGCACTTGTTTCGTACTGCGTTTTCAAGCATTTTCTGTCTTTTGCTGATGTGCAACTGATGTGTCGTCATCTTGTCTCTACGAGTGATCAACATCCTCATCCACTTCACAGCATTGTCCAACTACACCGTGCGCAACATGTCCCCTACCCTGTACGCACTGCATCGGCTTCACAACATTGTCATCGACTTCACCGCGTTGTCATCGATGGTCCCCGCCCTGCTTCCCTTCCAGTTGCACGAGCACCCCGCATGCCCCACTACGCCGTACAAACATGTCTAAAAGATGCTGCACAAAAGCAGCATTTCTGCGTCCACGGCAAACTGACAATGTTCAGATTGTCTGCAGTGTTTCTATGCGTGTAGCGAAGGACCATGCCCCTTTGCCATCCAATCCAGTCTCTGGAAAAACTCCTGGCCAAACCAAACTGGAGAGGACTCCATCACCCTCAATTGGCGATAGGCCTTGCGTGCACCCACGACTTTCCACGACTTTCGCTGATTGTGCATGCATTCGGTGACTGGTTAACCTCTGATATTCCCATCATTGAAGCTTCAACCGGCCTCTTTGAGGGTGAGAGCCGTGCAGCCGAGCTGGACAGTCTCTCTGAACCTGGTGCACGCTTAGGACAGAAAGAGCAGCACATTTGATTCGACCCATTTTCGGCCCAATTAATTATGTATGGGGGGAGGATCTGCACAGCTTCCGCATATTGATCGTTCGAACAGGCGTACAGTAATATGCAAGGGGCTGTTGCAGAACATTGCATGCGACTGTTGAAAATCATTCCCCTGCCTGAAATCACCATCTTGCGGGCCACATTCCACACCACCACGTGAAAATGCCCACTCACAGCCGCCCCCCACCTTCAGCAGAGAATGGCAAGAGTACTGGCAACCACTAACACTTCGGGATGGCGGGGCAACGTCTCACATATAACGCCCGGTGGGAAGCATGCACGCTGTCAGGAAGGCGAACAACGCATGTCTAGTTGTCCCTCTTGCCCACTGGCGGTTGCCCCGAGCGACTTGCCTGTAGCGAGACATGGCGAACTCCAGGAAGCAAGCCAAACAACCTGTGCCACGGAGTGACAATGTTCAAGCCCAGCAAAACATCACAAGAACTATGCAAACTACATCTCTGCCACCTTTGCATGAAAGACTTTGACCACAAACTGCGTGTGTTCAAAACTGTCGTGCAGCAGGGCCCCTTCACGCAAATTATCGTGCAGGATAGCCATGCCAAATATGTAGACTGGTGTCGGGGGACGCGTGGGCAAGGTGGGGAATGGAAGCACCGGAAGCACCGTTAGCAGCCGTTAGATGCTGTTAGGATGATGAGTCCTTCCAAATTTGGGCATCCGTGGGTTGACTTCCCAAATTGCACAACCCCTGATATCCCCTGACATCGGTCAGCTTAGGCATGTGCCCCGGCAGGTCATAGACGTGAAGGTAAACCTGACAACAAACAGTGCAGCTTGTCTGATCTTCATCAGGCTCTTGGGTTGCGGCTGCCAAGTCGAGCTTCAACACCAATCCCAGCATCGTGCCAACAAGCAGCTAAATGAAGCAAATGAAACAAGTCTGATTGGAAACCGTTAGCACCGTTAACATTCACTAACATTCACTCTTCTGTAATCTTCTCTACCCCTGCCGCCTCATTGTTGGCCTTGTGCCAGCCAGCAGGAAAGTCATTTGCCTCCAATTTAAGTATATAATGTGAACCGCATCCATGTTCTGGGATCATGTTTGGGATCAAGAGGTCATGATAAGAACGAGGTCTGATATGCTGATGGTTACCACTCGCGACAAGGGTACAACTCCGCAATTGCCACTGTGAGAAGCAAATCATGCATTCCAGAATGCAACTGTGTCCCAGAGTACTGTATGCCGTAATGGGAGGGGAAGCTGTCCAGTTCCAACATGCTACGCTCACTGCACCACCCCTTGGCATCTCTTACTGCTAAAGCTTCGGCCCAACTTTCACCTCTCCAATTCCAGCCTTGTCATTCGGAGGCATAGTCCCAAGTAATGTGGGCTACGAAGTGTCTGATTGGCCCCGCCCTGAATCAGTCTTGGATGACGGGAAGGCACTGATGTACACTGACCAATGGCCACACGCATGGACATGGAATGATATTTCAGAATGCATGCCAGCCACGTACAGGATACAGCAAAACATGTAAAAACATTGACTTGATATTAATGACACCATTCAAAATACAAAAGGTATTTGCTCGACGCCGCTGGTGGACATGACACGTTCAAACCAAAATTTTGCCGATCTTCCCAGTGCGGGTGGCTTGCCACGTGCCTGCAACTTCGCGCAATCTCCCCGGCCAATGTGCTCCCTGTCGGTCGCGCCGCAAGCATCACCTCAGGGCACAAGGACTTCGGAGGCGCACGGAATGCCAGGACCAGGGAGCAGGGAGAAATTCGTAGAACCCCGG